CTGCACAGCACTGAGTCATGGCAATTAAAGTGGCATCAAACCAGATTATTTCTGCATTACGGATGCAGACATAGGATTGCCTGTGCCATCGTATTTTCCATTTCTACATATGTTTGTGAAAGCTGGACAGCGAAAGAAGCTGATGGGAAGAAAATCAGCTCATTTGAAACATAGCGGTGTGCTAGAGGAGAGAAGGTTTGCCTTTGCTTTCCTGTGAGGCTGAGAGGCTGCGACTTGGCCAAGGTTACCCTATGGGTTTTCATGGGTGAGCAGCGATTCAAACCCTGGACTGTCCTAGTCCAATACTCAAACCACTAAAACGTGCTGGCTCCCTCACCCAGCTACAACACAACTGTTTATTTTATTTTATGTTTGCAAACCAAGCGCCAGGCTGGAGACTCTCATATTCAACCCTCTCCTTGCACACACATCCTTAGCCTCTCCAGGTCCACAGGTAGCAAGTGATCCCTGCCCTCCTACCTGACAGGAATTTCAGCTTTTTATTTTTATTTTGTAAATTTGTAAATCGCTGTATTTGCATATATGTACACAAGATATCCTGGAATCAAGGTGGCCAGATGTCATAATTGCAAAGTAGGACAAGGCACTGCAAAATGTAGGGCATTCAAGAAAAATGTAGGATTTTACTAAATAAAAGCTGAAAACACACACATAAATGTAAATTCATGCTTCATAATCATGCTCAAAACGGAGGACATTTTGGAATTCCTCCTGGACAGAAGGGTGAAATGTAGGGTATGTCCTGGAAAAGGAGGATGTCTGATTACCCTGCTTGGAATAGGACCCAGGTTTAAATACAAAATTCAATTATGCTTCATATACACATAGCTTGATAGTAAATTAAAACAAAAAAAAATTAAAAATAATTTTGTGCATGAAACAAATTTGTGTACACTGAATCCTCAGAAAGCAAAAGTGTCACTCACTCTCTCAGCCATCCATGAAAAAAAGTTTAGGGTTTTGGAGGATTTTGGATTTTTGAATTCCAGGTAAAGGAGACTCAAGCCTGTAGCATAAGCTTTCATAAACTTAAACAGACCTCCTCAGACGCGGATGTGTATTATACATTATACAAACAAAGATATAGCCATGTTAGTCTGAAAAATCAGTATGCAAAAGGAACCTGTAGCACCTTTGAGACTAAGGGCCTTTGCAGACTGCCAGAAATAGCGCAATTGAGTCTATTTTAACTGCCCTGACTCAGTGCTAGGGAATCATGGGAACTGTCATTTATTGTAGCACCAGAGCTCTCTCACAGAGAAGGCTCAATGTCTCAGAAAAAAATACAATTCCCATGATTCCAGTCTGCAAAGGCCCTAAATGGGAGCAAGAAGTCGGTAGCATGAGCTTTCAAAGACTTAAATCAGACTCACATGCATATGAGAAGGTAGATTTAAGTCTATGAAAGTTCATGCTACCAATTTTTTCTTCATTTAGCCTCAAAGGGGCTACACAATCCCTTTGCAGACTTATTTTCACACTAACACAGCCATGTCTTTGTTTGTGTAATGTCCGCTACATAACATTCATGTGCATTAATGTTAATTACACTTTAAAAACAACAAATCCCCCCCCCCC